GCCGTCACCGGCGACTCATGGCAGCCCAGCTCCAGGTTGAGCTGTTGTTCAGCATCTTAACTGTAGAGGGCAGTGTCACTGGCCCTCATATTGTGGGATCCGAACCGGGGCCTTCTGGCGTCCCAAGCCTGTTCTTAACCATCGCGCCACTCAGCCAGCCCGCTGCACTCATTTTTGTAATAAGTACTACAGGAATCAGTTTTGAAATCTATGATCCTGTGATCTTAGAACACGTAGTTCCCTTCTACACAACATGTCCAAACATTCTTATGTTATTAGGTCTTCTGACTTTACGCCAGATTGTTTTGAGCAAAGTTGATCAGTCTCTCCACACCAATGCGTCGCTGGATGCTGCAAGTGAATATGCCAAATACTGTGCAGAAATTTTAGGTGTTGCGGCTACTCCAGGTATGTAAATACTATGGCTTGAGTTCATTTCTCCTGTGCAGCCTAGGGTATTCTCCTCACACTGCCAGGACAGGTAAGAGTTTGTCAGGCAGATGACCTAATGTATTTTGTTTCTAATTTCTGTAATCAGGCCATGACTTTCAGATGAGCATGCTCTGGCCATATGAGCTACCCTTTCCAAATGGGCTTGAAGGAAAGGTGGCTCCAGCTTTGCAGCATTTTAGTGTAATCAGGCGTGAGCAATTGGCCTCCACCCCAGAGCAGAGAAAGCCATTCACATTTGGCAGCACCCGCCTGAGTTCTCCCTCCCTATATGCACCACGACTTCCCAATGATTTCAGTAAGAAATTGGCAGAAGAGGCCGTTTCAGAGGGAAGCACAAACTTATGCCTTGTTTCCGATTCTGATATCAATGAAGGCAGTTTGACTTAGCAGTTTCTAACCTGATATTTATGAGATTCATGTGGGTAGGTGGATAGCGGCACACACGTGTGTTTACATTTATATTTATATATTTGAAGCCAACATGTAGTTGTAAGTATATGTAGTTGGTAAGGTGATAATTTTTTCATGAAGGAAGTTGTTATAGAAAGGAATCATTCACATTTATAGAGATAACAAAGGTCAGAATAGTCAGTGGAGTCTTTCTAGGGCCTCACTTTTTATGTGTGATCTGTTTATGGTAAACCCGACAGCAACTTTGTGCCTCAGGCCACTTTGACAAAATCCTTTTTAAAGTAGCCCTAGAGGTAGATTGAATTGGGAAAACGTTTTTAGCTTTTCAAGTAAAGAGCTCTTATTCAGTAATTATGAATGTAAAATAAGTGCCTTTCTGACTCATTATTTAGATACAAAGATGTATGACAAAGTGTAGGCTTAATAGTAGAGTATTTGTAAGATAGGAATGAATGTGTCTAAGGGACAAGAAAGGACTGAGGAAGATTCTGAAACCCTGAGACGCCTGATGGGTGTGGGCAAAACCTCTGAAACTATGGTTAGACATTCCAGAGCTTGAGCCGAAACCAGCTCTGAGGTTGAGCCATCTCGGGAGAGAAGTTTGTAAACATCTTGACCAAGGGCACACAAAAAAACTTGGGTGTACTAGAGATGAAACCCTATCACTCTGTCCTCCCACACCTAGACTCCCTGTAGGGAAACCTGAGCTAGCTGATAACCTGGTGGTAATTAACTTTGGCCATGACATTGATTGAAATGTATCTTTCTTTAAAGGCACAAATATGCCAGCTACTTTTGGACATTTGGCAGGAGGATATGATGGCCAATACTATGGATATCTTTGGAGTGAAGTGTTTTCCATGGATATGTTTTACAGCTGTTTTAAAAAAGAAGGGATAATGAATCCAGAGGTATTGGGTTTTTTTTTTCTCCTTTTATTAATTTCATAGCTGCTCCCTCCCCTGTAACTCCTAGTGTACAATATTTATTACACCTAGATTTTAGAGTAAGAGGTTCGGTAACAGCTTTTTACTTTAAAGTCTTGCATCTCCTTAAATCATACATCAAGTTGCAGTGCTCAAGTGATTAATTCTGTAAGTTAAAAACAAACAAACAAAAAAACCCCTGCATTTTCTCGCTTATTAACATTCCAGTATATTGCATAATTAAAATTCAAAGCGTTGTTTATGCATTTGAGCATTTATAGCTGCTAGTTTTGACATGCACCTTATAATGTTTTAGTTTTATAGAAGATTGGGAAAGAAAACTAAACTCCTTCCTGATATAAATGGTGTGTTTATGTTTTGATATTTTCTACACACTTTCCTTATACATTTTCTGTGGGAGGCCCCCTTTTCCTGTGGCTGGCTTACCCCACCTACTACATAGTTTGTAACCTAAATGCCTTTAAGTAATTTAAGCTGCTTCATTAACCTGAGCCATTCCTTTCCGTGGACAGCGACTTGACTGCCAGGTGGCTGCCAGCCAACCTTCCTGAGTTACAGTCCCCTGTCTCCACTCTTGTTGAAGACTCAGCTGTCAGATTATTTCTAGGGCTGGTGCATTTTCCAGTGTGTTTTTCATTCTGTTTGATTCAGAAATTAGAAGAACAAATGATCAAAATCAGGCTCTCCATGCTTATTTTAACCGACTGATTTGTTCCTTGAACTTTATGTTTCTGGATTGCATAGAGCCTTACACATATGCACTGAAATACATTGATGTAATTTAGACTACCTTCCCTCCCCCAATCACCAAAAAACAAAAACAAAAACAAAAAAAACACCTCCAAGGTACCTACATTCTATACGCTAGACTTTCTAATCACTCCATCTTCCATCCCACCCTACCCAGGACGTTAGGTCCCTTTAAGTCTCCTTCCATTCCCTGGCCAACTCATTTACAATGGTCAACCACTGTTCTCATAAATATCGTGACCTCTACATGACCTTCAGCCAGTGCCTAGCCCTGGATTCCTTCACTGTGTCATTTAGAGATGGTGCCCTTGGGATTCAGAATGTTCTGGAGACGATCATATGACTCCATTAACATGCCCAACTGCAAAGTCATGCTGTCCAACTTCAACTGGACACCCAGTGTTACTCTGCAGCCATGCTCCACTTCCCTTGTTGAGTTCCCGGAGTCCCCACGTAAGCAGATGTCCTCTCTGAGCAGATGATCTCTCCTCTCTCCTAAGAAAATTAAGATCATTGAGAGCAAGTACCTTCATCTTTCTAATTCTTTCTATACATCAATGCTTATCTTCTTTCCTCCTGCCTCAGAGGAGATGTCTCTAATACCAAGCCTTCCTGGTTTGCCATCTTGGAAAAAAATGGGTTATTATTATCGATTCTGATAACCTCATTCCTGCTACTCAGGCATTCTTCCTTTCACAATCTAATTTCTTAGTGTAAGAAACAGTCTTTGCAAACCTCTATTTTCTGGCTTTTGCTTCCATCAACTAAACTGGAAAATTATCCTCTCTGCAAGTTACCAGTGATGACCCAATCGCCAACTTCCAAAGGCCCTCGTCTAGCTTTTTTTTTTGAACTTCTTGCTTCTTGTTATTCCTCTCTTTGTTCACAGCCCTGAGGTTAGCAATCAAATTCCTCCCTTAACTCCCAGAACTCCCTGTGTTTTAGCCAAATTTCTGGGTTCCTATAGGTCTTTCCACCTTCACAAATTTATTCATTGTATTTTTTCCACCTAAAATGCACGCCTTCCTTGTCAATGCCTCTCAGAAATCCTTCCGTTCTTAAAAGCTCTTCTCAAGTGGCTGGTCATTTATGAAGTCTTCCAAATCATCCAAACTAAAAGTGATCTTTCCATCCTCTGAACCGAAGAGTGAACTTGGCCTTGGGGGAAAGGCTTCAGTAAGCTTTTTCTTATGTCTGGAATGTTTAACATAACTATCATGCAAAGTGAAAAAAATCAGATTATAAAATATTATATACCAGAGGACGCAAATTTTTATTTTAAAGCATATGTGTAGGGGAACAGTACATCAAAATGTTGTCAACTGTTATCCTTGGGTGGTAAAACTATGAGGGATTATTAAATATTTTTCTGTACTTTTTATGGAGCTTTTTCTTATATTTACATAGAGTATGGATTATTGTAGAAATTGGAAAGCAATGTTTAAAGAAACACAAAGTCTAGGTATATGAAGACACGATTATGACCTCTTACTGGCTCTTAGTAGTTGGTGAGGCTTCCTGGCATAAGTGCTCCAGCACTTCTTTCAGTGAAGCCTCCTCATTCATCTCCTCTTCCAGCCGTCCAGGTAACAGCCCAAGCACCAAGTACAGATCCCAGTGGATCCCAGAGAAGGAACTTGCAAGTCCGGCAGAAGCAATCCTGCCATTATGTTTCTATACACTTCCTGCTATTCTCAAGCTTCACCGCTTGGCAGGCAGCCAGACTACTCTTAATTTAAACAAAGGGATGGGGTTGAATTTGGAGAAAGCAAGATGACCTACTACTTGGACTTGTTTATTTGTGATGTTAAAAAACAGGTTTCAGTTTTACTAAAATTCTGGATCCCACAGTGCTGTACATTATTCCTCATCTTATGACATGAAGCTGGCTCTAATCCCTTCTTTTTTCTTTCTCCTCAAATACTCTGGAATATCATGTCATTTATTGCTCCCCTGCTGTCATGACAATAGTGAATGTGGTTCCAGTGGCCAAGGAGATTCCCTTTACACCCACCCTCACACTCCTATGGCAGATACTTAAACAGCTTTTTAAATAGACATTTATTCCCTCCTACAGTGTACCGTTTGTTTGGTTTGGTGGGGTTTTCTGTTTGTTTTTGTTCCTTTTTTTCTTTTACAAATGCTTGCACTAAAATAACACCCGATTTACAAAATTCAAGTATCACTTATTAAAAATTAATACTTTGGAATAAAAATCCTAGCCTACGAAAAACACTTAGGTCATTATTACAACTATGTTGTGATGAAGAGAAAGAATTTTTATGGTATAAATTTTTATGGTATAAAAGAAAGAATTTTTATGTTGTGATGAAGAGAAAGAATTTTTATGGCTTCAGATCAAATATGGTTTTTGATCTGAAGTCATGGGAATCAGAGCAATTCCAGTATGTCATGCAGACTTCATTGTCTCAAGGCCCTCATCTTTCATTGTATATTTGGATCGTTTCGAGAGGATAGCAGGATGGCCTTTCAAGGAGTCAGTCCCCGCTAGTCTTTGTCCCCAGGCTCTGAAAGATCATGTATTGTCGACATTTTGGTCATGGTCATTGGTATCAACAAAAAAAACATCTCCAGGCCTTCTCGCTATAACCTCTTGCCATCCTGCAAAGCCCAGAGTCTGTTCTGAGAACCTTCCAGTTGTTCGCAAGCAGAGCTGTCGAAAGCTTGCTACTCACTGGGAAACAGCAATAGGAAGGGTTCAATGTCAACCTCTAGTCGGCTGAATACCAAATGGTAGCAATAGAATATTCTGGGGTACAAGTGTTTCCATTCTGTTTATGAGGGCTTTGATCAAAATATTCGAACTGGCCACGTACCTATAATAGCCTAAAAGTTTGCTACCTCTGGTTTTATCTGTAGTTCTTTATATTCTTCATAGTAAGTTGATAACAACACCTTAACTGTTTAATTCATTTGCTGAATATTATCTAAAGTCTGCTTCTAAGTGGATTATGGAGACTTCGCATTTTCAGACATATCTTTTACTTCTCCAGCTGATCTCTTAAATAACTGGGGAAAGGAACTGCTTGGGATTAACACTTTTCCAGCAAGCTCTAAGAGCTCGTTAAGGTTATCTTTAAGGTCACCAAATGTAGTTTCAAAATCCAGCAGCTAATTATAGGGTTGAAAAAATGGGGCATTTAACTAGGGCCATTTCTTTTTATAAGGCAACTTCATTGTGGGAAATTTTCCTAAGAGGTAATAAACATCGTGGATTCAAAGGCAATTATATTATTAAGCTAGAATAATCTTCTTTGGCATTAGAGAAACTGCAAAGCTTTGTTTTTTCCATCAGTGAAGAAGAAACTCAGCCCAGCATCACTACTGAAAGGAATACCAAGAAAATCAAGAGAAAGTGTAGCTATTGTATTTTAACACATAATGCCATAAGGAAGTAGTTACATCTTACATGCAATAAGTCAGAAACATGCAAAAGAATTACCTGACAGAGAATGTGTAATGTAAAGCTAAGTATTCTAGTGCTTTCCAAATAGCATCTGAGGTCCAGTTCCTGCTGTAGTGTGCTGCCAGAGGAGAATATGAAATTTCCTCTCTCCTCGGGCCTTACAAGTAGATTAACTTCTGCCTCAGCTCTCCTAGCCTAAGCACCCCAAAGCTGATTTTTCTTACACGTCAACCTTTTCTAACAGACTTAGATTTTGCCTGATTTAAGGGACAAAAGAAGGAAATAGGATTGATTTCCAACCTACTTCTTGAATATTTACAAGGCCAGACCTTCTAACTCTTGAATCCCAACCAGCTGGAAGCAGTTTTTCTCCCTTTGTGTTCTTACAGCCCTTCTTTGTGTTTCTCTTAGAGTCCTAAAAATCTGCCTTGTTAATTGTCTATTTCTTTATCTCGCCTACTAGATCATAAGGCCCTGTAATAGAAACTGTTTTATTCATCTTTGTATTTGTCCTCTGCTTCAAAACTGTTACATTTAATTATTACTGTTACAAACGGGTACCTCTTTGCACCCAACAGGTAGTTTCCCCCCACCACCACCTCCACCACCTGCTTCTATTCCTCTATTACCCTACCTCATGCATACTACTACCCAGGGTACCTTTTTTCTCCCGATCCCCTTCCTCCCTTTAAATAAAGATGTATTCTAGTCTCACAAATTGAAACTTTGCCTAAGGTTTCCATTAGGCCTCTTCTAATCAAGCAAAGATTCCCACCACTGCTCTTATTTTCACCTCCCTGACTACCGGCACCAGTCTTTCACTCTTTCCCTCCTTCGTTGTTGTCAGAGGTGTTCTTTTTCCACCCATCTCCCCACCCTCAGAGAAAACAAAAGGTGTGCTGTTGGGAAGGCGTTTACAGATAGGCTGTGGAAGGAAAGGTTTCAAAGTCCACTTTGAAAGCAGGCTGAAGAGCCTGCTAGGTGCCCTGTCCTTGGGTGGATGCTGTCTGCCCTGATGCCTGTTACTCAGTGACTCTGGCTCTACTCCCCAGAGCCAATCACAATGAGGAGGAAGTGGGCAGGGCTGGAAGGCAGGGGGAGTGAGCATGTGCTGCTTCAGAGATGCCAGAGATAGCAGGAGACCCAATCTGTTTCCTATTTATATATTCTCATTACTGATAGATGATGGACGTCCTTCATTCACATAGTTATGATTGCTCTTAAAGTATTGCCTCAAATAAAAGATACATATTCTTAGATACAATGAGCGCCTTGTCTCTCCTACTTAATAGTCCTACTGAATTATATTGCATATTAATAGTGGAGATGAAGTCTCTTGTGCTTTTTTTTAGCTTTATTAAGAGACAGAACTCATTTTAAAGAAAACACCAAACCAGGAATGCGTTTATTTCCCTGAACTGTTTAGGAGAAACTAAACTTGGGGGCAGTGTGAGAGAAAAGGAAAGGAAGGGAGTGCAAGATGACTCGAGTTTACTGAATACCACTATATGTCAAGTATGGTGGCAGGGAGTGCTGGCAATGTGCTGAAACCGTTGCCTCTGATTCCCCATAAACTGAGTGAGGTAGGCATATTCCCACTGAACAGGTACGGAAGCCAAGGCCCAAGGTCACATAGCTGAGGATGAAGCCAAGATTCAAACCTGGGCCTGACTCCAGGACTCCTGGTCTTGCTTTAAGAGAGGACTTGCACAGTTGCCAAAAGATACACTCTAATCTTCCAGGATGAAAAACCACAGAGGTGATTGATGGCGGTTTTCCTTCATAGAAGAGGTAACAGGAGCTGTTACTATGTGCAGATCCTCCTGAAGGATTTTTTTAGCATGAAACATTTTAGTTATTGTCTTAGAGCTTACCTTTCTGCTTTCCTCACAGTTGAAGTTTCTTCATTATATAAACAAAGCAGAGCAATTTACGGCAAAGACTCCCTTCACCTGTGGCATATGTCTCCCAGGCCATGTTCTTTTTCACCCACAGAGCCTGGTTCCTTCCTAAAACACAAAAAATTCACTTAGCTTTTTTTTTTTTTCCTTTTAAGAAAAGCAAGATCCTATTACCAAAACGAGTCTTAAACTCTTCTCCAAACTTCATTGCAAAGGAAATGAAACTATTAAAAGACCATTGCTGTGTAATTCAGGAAATTGAATCAACTTGTTTGGAGCTCTGAGCCGGAGGAGGACTAGAGCTGTTCTCAGCCACATATTGTGAGACTAAACAGGGGCCTGCTCTGCACTGACTTTCCCACTCAGAAGAGGCATGAGCTGGCTTTTCACAACCCCGTGCAGGTCACTCCTCAAAGGCTTGCTTTTCTTTCCTACCTAAAACGGCAGGTCTCTGTACAAGATGAGAATAGTTTGTCAGACGTCAGCATTTTGGGTGGTTTATTTTTTACTTGCTTTAGGTTTTCCTGAATATTCTTATGTTTGGGTAATGAAATTCTTTTTGATAAATAAAAGATTCTCAGATCGTGAGCATTAAGAAGTAAGGTAGATAAATATTAATTACTGAGGTTGGATGATGGTTACATGAGGTTTCATTTTATTAGTAAATATTTACTGTTAGTAAATATTTAAAATTTTCTCTGCTAAATATTTAAAAAGTTTTAATGATAAAGGGATTAAGTATTTTTATGATGCTGCAGATAAATTTAACTCACATTTTCTAAGTTCTTCCTATACTGCTACCCTCAGAGACTACAGTCTTTCCTTACCTTTTCTCCCCCCACGAATTTAACACTGGTCACATTTAGACACATTGGGCAGTGAGTGAAAGGGAAAGGAATTTATGTGAACTGTGGCTGGGCTCAAGAGCCCTGATCTGCTACTTCTTAGAATAATACAGCCTATGACAAGAACAGCCGTCACTCTCATTTTAGATTCTAGGTTGATAGCCAGTTGTGGCTGTTCAGCACTTGAAATGCCGCTAGTGCAACTGAAGAACTGAGATGTGCCGTAAATGTAAAAAACACATTTTGAGGCTTGCAACAACAAATCTCAATAATTTTTTGTATTGATGCATGTGGAAATAATATTGTAGATATACTGGTTGAAATAAAATAGTTTATTAAAATTAATTTCACCTACTTTTTTAAATGTGATTATTAGAAAATTTTAAGTTATGTACATGGCTCACATTATATTTCTATTGGTCAGTATTTATGAGAAGGGAACTTTGGCTAATTATTTACTCCTGATTAGGGATGGTACCTTTAGATGATTAATAAGTGGCAGATGATATCTGTTTATAACCAAAAGATAACCCCCAAAATTTTAATTTTATAACCCTGTAGAACATTAGTTTTGTAGCTAACTTGGTAGATTTCATTCATCCATGTTTTATTTTCTTGAACAGCTTGACTAGACTGATCTCTGATGGTTGCACCAATGCCTGGTGCATTGTTATAAGTCAAAAGTTGTATTACTTTTGTCTCTGGAAATTCTCTAGCTGTTCTTGTACTCTTGACTCTTAGTCCTATTGATCAAATGATATAATGGATATAAAATTAGGTGCAATACTCTGTGAACTATTTATTTTACGTGTGTATTTAGAATTATGCTTCACTGAACTGTCTTGCCTTGCTTCCCTAAAAGAATGGTGAAAAGGAAGTGAAAATATTGAATAACACTGATACTGGATTACAATTCTTCTCTTTCACTTTATCTGCTCCTGAGTTAATGTAAATAAAGACAGCGGAACTGTGATACGTTTTAAAATTACAGATCTGGTCCTCAAAGAACACTTTGCAAAGGTCCTCATCCCCAGCGTTGGACCCACAGAAATGTCTTACCCTACACCGTGGGCTTGTGCTATTGTCCTATGCCCCTCCCCGCCCCTGTAAAGAATAAGGGCTTTTTATAAGCCCCTCATAAAAACAGATCGGAAGCTGCTGGGGCCGTAGCTATTCCACTGTTTCCAGGTACACAGAAACCCTGCTTGTGGACTTCTTGAACACTAGGAACTGTCCTGTATTCCATTTGCCTATCTCTTGTTCCTCTGTTTGTTCACAGTGTCATTTCACTGCTGAGAATCAAGGGAGACAAGACCATAATAAAGGGAAGTGTAGAAAACCCAAGGTCTAAGCTCAGATCTCTTAGCTACCAAAATAAATAAATACCACAGCGTCGCAGGCCCGGCAAAAGAGACCATCCAGACAGAATGAAGCCCAAATCCCTGTTTCTTCACCCCTTCCCCTTTTCTCTTTTGCATCTAGAGATTTGGAAAACTGCTATAACCGTGAATTATTAGGCATGATGTTTTATTTTATTAGGTTGGAATGAAATACAGAAACCTAATCCTGAAACCTGGGGGATCTCTGGACGGCATGGACATGCTCCAGAATTTCTTGCAACGTGATCCAAACCAAACAGCGTTCCTGATGAGCAGAGGCCTGCACACCCCGTAGGCTGGGGCTCTTTGGTAGCCGACCACGTCTGGAGGACAAGCAGACACCACCATGTGTCACTGGCCTGGAAACTGAAGGGAGTTTTGCAAGTGAAAATTTACATTTCTATTGACTGCTTTTTGTTGTTTGAGTTGAAAAAAATGACACAGATGTAAATGGAATCCTAACTACTGTGACCTAAGAAGAGGCCAATTCGAAAATAATTAGACTATAAAATTTCATTAAAAAAATAGATGTGATTTTCTTTTTGATAAAAGTTTCATATGAATGTAATTTGATTTTTTTACTCTTGTAATCTAGATAATATAATGTAAGAGGGCTCAGAATTTTTCAATTGAATCATATACATTGCATAATTTGATCCTTCTTAGATCATGCCGTTTTATACTTGGGATTTCTGGATATAAATGAATCACCATATTCCTCTGGTAAATATTTTCTGCGAACTCTGCATCAACTTGGACTCTGTCTAACAGTCAAGTGTGACCTCTTTGCCTACATACCTCAGGGCCATGGGACTATGCCCCAGTAATGCATTTATCGTTGCGTTTCAGGCCACGTGATTCCCAACTTTCTGCCACACTTAAAATATGTTCCTCCATTTGGGTTTATCTTTTCTGTCTAAAGTCCAGTCAAAGAGTACCAAACAGTTATGAATTTTAACTGAACTAGCCCAACATATATTGCATGTTTTTGTATTTTGTACCGTTTCCCCAAAAATAAGACCATGTCTTATATTAATTTTTGCTCCAACAATCTGTATTTATTCATTTATTCATGTACAAAAATTGACATTTATTCGAACAGTCGTGTCTGGCTGACGATCTTAACTGGGGCTTATGTTTGGGGTAGGGCTTATATGACGAGCATCCTGAAAAATCATGCCAGGGCTTATTTTCTAGTTGGGTCTTATTTTCGGGGAAACACGGTATTAGAGGATTTGGAATCTTGTTTTAGAGGATCCTTTCCACGTCAGCATACAAGATTGTCAGTCTTTTTACATATTTGCCCATTAGAACACTGAGGCAAGTCCAAGGAAGTGTTCTCCTGTTTCTCAGAAGTGGTGGGGACTTTGCCTCCTTCACTGCCCACCTCACCCAGAGTGGCAGGTACACATGTCACAAATGGCCCTTTAGAGAGCTGAAGCTGAGGCAGAGCATGAGTTCAGAAACTCCAGAAGACGGGGTTCTGGACAGAGCGTTTTAGGACAGCTGTGCCCAGTGCTACATGTGCGCTCAGCCTCAGCCATGGGAGTTGGCTCTTCAGTAGTCTGTTTTGTCTGGTGATTTTTATTTGACATGACCCTTTGGAACTCTCTTCTACTAAATATGGGCCTGAATTCCAATTCTGCGACAGACCAGAAAACTCACAGTACTTATTTTTCCTCTAGGAGTCTCCTCAATAAGAAAACCACAACTGGACAAGAAAATTTTTAAATGAAAAAAAACAAACTTTGAATGTAGTCTGCCTCTGCCTCAGTCTTCCAGTTGTTTCCCACTAAGTACCTGAGGTCTGACTTTGCTGGCCAGGGACAAAAGTAAAACCTTTGTGTTCTCCAGTCCAAATGGACTTTGCACTAAATATATATATATATATATATATATATATATATATATATATATATATATATATATGCTGCATAATAAAATTATAAATATCAGGAAAAATC